TCAAAAACACCACCCTCCTTCCAATCGCTGGGCACCCACCATTCCTTCCACCTGGCATGCTCTTCTTCCCCCACCTCTTTGTCAAGCCAAACCCCTGTGCATCCTTCCAGCCCTCAATATCTTCCCTGAAGGATTCTGTTGCTGACATGCCATGACCACCAGCACCACCAGAGGAGGCCTCCAGCCCTTCTCACTGCTGGAATTCAGCCATTTCTCTAACACCTTTCTCCCACCTCAGCCACAAACCTCCGTCAAGACAGGGACCGACCTTCCTCAGTGCCTCACAAAGGCATAGCTGCCCCGTGGGCATGTGATGCACTGAATGAAGGGGGGGTGCTGACTACAGGGACGGAGCATCTCACCCCTTGCTCCGTCTTACACTCTACTCTCCAAAGGGTCCCTTAGGCTTTCAAGCCCTGAGCCCCATTCTCTGTCCTCTCTGTTGTGTCTAAAGATGGTTTTCCTAGGGAAGCTCATGAGACGAGAGAGCAATTGAAAGGTGGATCACAGAGGGGCCTCAGCACGGTGGGCAGGGAGGGGATGGTGAGGACTTGCTTCTATCAAAGCCAGCAGGACTCTCCGCCTCGGATTCCTCTTCCCCCTCCCCTGCTCAGCAGGTCCTATCAATCCGGCCCCAGGCTGCAGACATGAGGCCCTCCACTGGGTGGCGCCAGATCATCAGCACCCACATCCATTCAAGCCAGGTCTCCCAGGAGGGACTGGGCACCCCACCTTCAGACCCACCCATGAAGAGCACAGAGGAAATTTTCCCTGGAAAATTAGGTATGTCCTCCGCCTACCCTCCCCCAACATTTTAATCTTCCTGACTGATTGGTTTGCTCAAGGACGGGCAAGTGGGACTGTTTCGAGCTGGAGTTTTTCAGTCTGGGTTCTGCTGCCGTGGTCACCTCAAGTAAGCCACATGATCCGCCCCACACCCTGCATCTCGAATGAGCCTGCGTTCACTCATTCACGTTGCAGTGATTATTAAGTATAATTATGAGTTCTAATTGACAGCCTGGGGGGATGTGAGCAAGGGACTCTGCATGTAGAAGAGTTCCAGACAAGAGACTTCGGAAAAGTTCATGGAAAATGGCAATAAAGCACAAGTTTATTCTGGTGCAAACATTTCTGAAATCCGTGCAGAGCTCTTTTCATAACACACATTTCCCATGAACTTTTGGGAGACCTCTCCTATCTACAAGGGGGTACTCTCTGTAAGTGCCACCCTTCTTAACTTACTGCCGTGTTCGGCCATCAGCACTTTCGGATAACCAGGTTCACACGCTAGGATCAAAAGGGGAGCCAGCAGTTACTGTAAAGGGGTAGCTTTTACATCCAAGGCTACCCTTTCACAGACCAGGAGAGGAGCATTCTGCTTTACAGCTCAGGAAATGGGGAACGGATGCCTGTTCCCCTCTCCACATAGATCCAAGGCTACCCTTTCACAGACCAGGAGAGAAGCACTCTGCTTTACAGCTCAGGAAATGGGGAACGAGTGCCTGTTCCCCTCTCCACATATTGCATTCTTTCTGTTGCTCTAAGTTATTCCAAAAGAACGTTACTTGGGAGACCAGCAGGTGGCGTGGCCGCCCACGGTTCGAATCCTAGACCTGGTGGCTTGCTTTCTCACTTTCCCTCTCTCTTTCTCTGTGTCTCTCTCTGGTCAAACTAAAATAAGTGAATGAATAAATAAATCATTCATTTTAAAAAAAGAACATTACTCAAATCCAAATCTTTGGGCAATCCATGACTTCTGAAGCTTGGGTCTTTAGGGCTGGCTTTTCCCAAATCCCCAAGAACAGCAGCTCTTTTTAGCTTTATTATCGATTACTACTATTATTATTATTGTTTTCTTCATTTATAATACAGCTCATGCACATGCCTAAGACAAAGAGAAAGTGAGTGAGAGAGGAGGAAGGGGCACCTTCCATAGGGCCTGGTCAGGCCTGATCCCCCCTTTTTCCCATCTTGCAGCCCACTAGATGCTGGGCCCTTGTGCACGTGCCTGGGGTGTGGCCAGGTCAGGGATTCCAACTGCAGTTGCCACATGGGATTCAGCTTCTCATGAGCAGCACCCTCCTGCCGTACCACGGAGCCAGCCTATCACTTTCCTATCTTTTAAAATAAAAGTTGTGTCCGTCTTCTATAAAAGGAAAATTCTGGAAATTTGCAAGACAGTGAAAAATGTAAGAAAAATGAAAATTCCTCATGATCTTAGATCTCAACCTCAGCGTATCTTATATTTTTCAAACCGGGTAATTGTGGGGAGCTGTCCCGGGGCCTCATCCATGGGATGCTGCTAGCACCCCTTGTCCAGGAGCAATGAGTAAAACGCCTCCAGGTGTCCCCAGATGTGCGCTGAGAACCGCGCCGATGCAGGCCGAACCACGCACACGCTCTGGCGTCTTTCTCGTGCCGCCCGTGTCACACAGCTCCCTCTCTCGACACCGTGCGTGCAGTCCGTGCTCTGCTCCCCAACTCGACCTTAGGTGGCATTTTCTTCAGAAGAATGCTTTGTAGTTGCTGCAGGTATCGCTGGTCAGCTGAGTGTCCAGTGCCACAGTCCACTGTACCCACCCCTGTGGCTGGACAGTAGGTTGGCCCCACGAGACTGTGCTGTAAACAACGCCTGACTGAACAGCCTTACACGCAAATCAGAACCCCTCAGCACTCCAAGAACAGATGCTGGGAGAGGAATTCCTGCCATCCAAGGTGCATGAGGGGCAGTGGGATATCGGCTTCTGAGATGTCAGTTCTAGCAGTGCACACTTCAGAAGTGCTGAATAACAACTTCGGAGTATTTCTAGAGGGGTGGGGGACATCAGGTTCTATAGACAAAGGAGAATGCCTTGGGGGCTGGGGAGCTGCTTCCAGTATCCTTTCTGACGACATCCAGGGCAGACTGGTCCTTCTGTTCTGTCGTTAAACCACATCAGAACGGAGGCCGATGCCTTCAGAAATACTCTCGAATCGGGTGCCAAAGGGGCTAGGAGATGGTGTAGTGGTTCCGTTGCTGGACTCTCACATGGGCAATGCCGTTGGAGTCCCAGACCCGGTGGCTTGACAATCACACCAGGTACGTGTGCATGTGTGCTCAAGATCCTGGGAGAAGAATGGAGGAGAAGGGACTGTGGTGTGGCCATTCCCCCTGGGGGGGGGGACTTCTCACTTTCTAGCTCTGTCCCTCTCTCTTTGGTGAGTGCACCTGTCCTATAACAAAAACCTCAACAACAAAATATCAGGTGACAGGTTTCACATTCGAACAGACTGAAAGAAGCTGTGTCAGGAAGGCCACATGGGGGCCCGGCAGGAGCAGACAAAGCCAAGGTTGGTTTGAGATGGGTGATGTGAGCGAGGGTGTGAAGGGGACAGTCACCAGCTGGGTACTACTGATCCCCGCTGCTCAGGCGTGTCCCCAGCCCTGCAGCATCTGAGCCACCTGGGGACTAGCTGCAAGCACAGAACCTCAGGCCCCATCCCAGACCTCCTGGACCACAATCTGTATTTTCCCAAGAGGGCAGGTGACTCAGGTTCTCAACATTAAAGAGGTCTTCACCAGGCCAGCTCTGTGCTGGGGCGGTATTGTGCTGCCGGAGAGAGGCTGGATTCCACGTGGGGACTGTGGTCTGAACTCTTGCCTGGTCGGCCTGTGTCCCAGAGCTGATGGAAGACCGGTCCCTGTGCAGGCTGCTCCTCCCTTTCTCTCTGTCTCTGTCTCTCTCTTGTCCACACATGAATAAAGACAAAACAAATTCTAACGCTAGAAGTCATGACCTACATGGACGCCTGAATTCTTTCCCAGAATTAACTGAAGTGAATCTGAGCCCAGTCCTCAGCCTCCTAAGACATTCAGTTCAATAACGTTTCCAAAAGTTAACACTCCTGCCTGTGTGAAAGCTGAGGGTCACGCTTCGGCCAGATTATGGCACCAGATCACCAGATCTTCCTTCCCGTGACTGTACACAGACGCCACGGCATGAGCAGCTATCGTTAGCAATAGCCTCACCGCGATCGTCACCAACTATCACGGTTGTCATCGTCACTCTCATCCCTGGGGTCTGCCATTTTATTGGGTCGTCAGGAAAATTGTGACGCATTTTTTGTATAGAAACATAGAAAAGGATGCATGACCTTCTCGATGACCTAACAATTCCTGAAAAGAGGTGGTGGTTGGAGGCTTTGTTAAGGAACGCTTGATCATTTGTGGAGAGAGTGGATGAGGCCGGTCAGTCCTCGGTTTCTTAGACACAGTCTAATGCTGTTGGCAGAACCATGGGGCCTACCACCAAGCATCAGGCTGACCACTAGTAGTCACGAGACCCAGCACAGCTCACATCACTGGGAGGACTCTGCAACCTCACACAGCACGGAATGCCACCAACGCCTACTTCACACAGTTGTGCAAGTGCCCACCCAGATGGCCAATGAGAATGCCCCCTGGGAACTCAGCACACGTACGGGCTCTTCAACAAGTTCACGAAGAACGAGGATCTCAAACAGCGAAGCATGGATTCCAACATGGTTTTGGATTACCATCAACTTACCCTGAATCCCATTTTTCCATGAACTTTTGAAGTACCCTCATATTCCCTGCAAAATTCTTTCCACTCCACAGCTGTCTCCATGCTTGCTTAGTGGCTAAACCCCACTCTGAGCAAAGTCTGGGGCTGGAGGTTAAGCGTATGAAAAAGGAAAATGGTTTCGCCCATCCGTAGTTCAGATGAGGGGAAACCCAGGTTTTCAATCTCAGAAATCCAGACAGCAGAGTGGAACGCTCTACCCAACAGCTACAACCTCTAGAAAAACAGCACCACGACCATTCAACCCTCTCCCCCTCAGGGAAGGTCAGAATGGCCTGACACAGCAGCCATTCTCTACCTGGGGGCAGGACTGCTCTGTAGCTACCTGGACTCCATGACGTCCATACTCATCTTTAATGCAGCTCTCCTGAGCCTGCATAAGCAGCCACCCCTGCCTCCCTTAACGAGGCCCCTTACCTGGGAATCACCGGTGGGTTTTCGGAGACTCATGTGGACAGTCTCTGGAGGGTGCGCTGGGGTCCCTGATGCGTGGTATCCATTCACTGCAGGGACAGAGACAGGGCTCAGACGCGGTGTGGGCCACACGAGGGCGCCCTAACCTGCAGCCACTGCACCTTCTCCCACCGCCTGCCCTGGTTCGCAGAGGCCTGGCATGACTGGGACCGTCCCTCTGGGTCTCATCAGTCTGCAGAGCTGGAAATTAGCCGGAAGCAGCTCTCTGATCCCAGCACACAAACTCCTGACCTCTCAGGGGCACTGAGCTTTCCCTGGAACCCAAGAGCAGAAGGAAGGAGCTAGACCGGAGGCCAGGGCGTCGTCCTCCCGCTGCCATCGCTGCAGGTGCAGCGCTGCACCAGGGTCCCCGCTCTCCGGAGTCAGGGGACCTCCCCACACTCTCACTATGCCCCCCCCCCGCGGAACTGCCCCACCCTCACCCTCAGGACCATGTCATGTGGGGGTGTGGAAGGAGGGTTGGGTTCATTGGTTGCTATGAGATTTGGCTCTGCTAATTTATAGCCAGGTGGTCACGCACACATCATTCTTGAGGCTCAGATTTCCTGAAACTAAAAAAGGCGGGGAGCACAGCTCCACAGCCTAGTGGTTGAGGGAGCCAGATCCCACATGACTGACTGCACGGTTCAAGTCCTAGACCTAACAGCTCGAAAAACATACTGGGCGTGTACACACAGGCCTGGATCCTGAAAGGCTGGACAAATGGAGGAGAAGGATTGGGGGTTCTTGTCTCCAAGAGAGACAAGAGCAGAGACCCGCTCTCTGTCTCATTCTCTCTGGTAAGTGCACATGCTTTCTGGCAAAAATCAAAAAAAGAAAAAAATAAAATCTGGGCTAAGCAGTTGGCACAGCAGTAACCTGATGCTCCGGGGGACTGACTTATATGGGAAGGTTCCAGGTTCACATCTGGAGACCTCTCTGAGCATTTCAGACCCACTTGCCAGTGGGTCCAGGCTGACTGAGGCTGGGGGTGGGGCCTGGCATTTGGGGTGTTGTCTGTCTGTCTCTCTCTCACTTTCTCTGTCTTTCCCTTTTATGCAAGAAACAAATAAATTTTAAAAAATAAATTAATGTTTAAAAATAAAAATAGGGCTGGGACCAGCAGATGTCGTAATGGGTATGTCACTGGACTCCCATGTAGTCGACCATGGTTTGAGTCCCAGACCCGGTGGCTTAAACTCACGCCGGATGCGTGTGCATGCGTGCTCAAGATCCCGAAAGGAGAATGGAGGAGAAGGGATTGCGGCGTGGCCATCCCCTCTGGGGGGACAGGGGGTTGATTTCTCGTTTTCTGTCTCTCTGTCTGTCTCTCTCTCTTTCTGGTGAGCACATGTGCCCTATAGGAAAAGCTGTTCCAAAAAATAATAATAATAAAATAAAATAAATAAATAAAAATAGAGTTGTAACATTCTACCCTGTATACCTGTAGGGGCCCTCCCCTCTCTCTCACTATCCCCCCCCCCGAGGAACTGCCCCACCCTCACCCTCAGGACCATGTCATGTGGGGGTGTGGAAGGAGGGTTGGGTTCATTGGTTGCTATGAGATTTGGCTCTGCTAATTTATAGCCAGGTGGTCACGCACACATCATTCTTGAGGCTCAGATTTCCTGAAACTAAAAAAGGCGGGGAGCACAGCTCCACAGCCTAGTGGTTGAGGGAGCCAGATCCCACATGACTGACTGCACGGTTCGAGTCCTAGACCTAACAGCTCGAAAAACATACTGGGCGTGTACACACAGGCCTGGATCCTGAAAGGCTGGACAAATGGAGGAGAAGGATTGGGGGTTCTTGTCTCCAAGAGAGACAAGAGCAGAGACCCGCTCTCTGTCTCATTCTCTCTGGTAAGTGCACATGCTTTCTGGCAAAAATCAAAAAAAGAAAAAAATAAAATCTGGGCTAAGCAGTTGGCACAGCAGTAACCTGATGCTCCGGGGGACTGACTTATATGGGAAGGTTCCAGGTTCACATCTGGAGACCTCTCTGAGCATTTCAGACCCACTTGCCAGTGGGTCCAGGCTGACTGAGGCTGGGGGTGGGGCCTGGCATTTGGGGTGTTGTCTGTCTGTCTCTCTCTCACTTTCTCTGTCTTTCCCTTTTATGCAAGAAACAAATAAATTTTAAAAAATAAATTAATGTTTAAAAATAAAAATAGGGCTGGGACCAGCAGATGTCGTAATGGGTATGTCACTGGACTCCCATGTAGTCGATCATGGTTTGAGTCCCAGACCCGGTGGCTTAAACTCACGCCGGATGCGTGTGCATGCGTGCTCAAGATCCCGAAAGGAGAATGGAGGAGAAGGGATTGCGGCGTGGCCATCCCCTCTGGGGGGGCAGGGGGTTGATTTCTCGTTTTCTGTCTCTCTGTCTGTCTCTCTCTCTTTCTGGTGAGCACATGTGCCCTATAGGAAAAGCTGTTCCAAAAAATAATAATAATAAAATAAAATAAATAAATAAAAATAGAGTTGTAACATTCTACCCTGTATACCTGTATGTCTCCTGGGGACATGGTCTAATGCCCCCAGGGTATGCAGAAAACCTACTCTGCAGGAGGCAGGGGATGCATGAACCCCTACATGATTCGTAGTGTCAGTTTCTGTGGCATAAGTTCTCCCCGCCATGGCTGGTTTCGAGCCCCCAGCACTGCTGCACACGCTTACCCACACACATGGACCCACCAAGTCTCAATTCCCAGAGGTGGTGCTGCCTCACACAGATATACGGACCCATTCCACAGAATGGCTGGCCACCCACAAGCCACAGATACGACAGTGGTCCCATAGGAGCGACAGGTTACACTGCATAGCCTCGGTGTGTGGTAGGCGACCCCATCTAGATTCGCCCAAGTGTACTCTGATATTCACGCAATGACATTGCCTAACAATGTACTTCTCAGGTAAATGACACCTGGCCGAGGGAGCAGAGCTGAGGGGGTGGGTTCCCTTCAGCGGGCCTTGGTTGTCAGACCTATAACTGGGGATAGTCCTACTCCCCAAGCCTCCTTTGTTAAGATACTGCCACAAGGCAATCATCGTAGGAGTGATCTGCAATGTATCAAGTATTCATTAAAAAAGGGAGGAATGGAGGAGAAGGTCGTTGTTCTGTTCCTGACCTTAGTTCCCACGAACGCCAAGCATCCATGACCTCGGAGATCAGAAAGCCTGCTATTCTTGGGGCCAGCAGATGGCGTAATGGTTATGTCGCTGGACTCCCACATAGTTGACTTTGGTTTGAGTCCCAGACCCGGCGGCTTAAAACTCATGCTGGGCATGTATGTGTGTGTGTGTGTATGCTCAAAATCCCAAAAGGAGAATGGAGAAGAAGAAATTGTGTGGCCATCACCTCCGGGGGGTGATTTCTTGCTTTCTGTCTCTCTGTCTCTCTCTGTCTGGTGAGCGCACATGCCCTATAGCAAAAACCTCTAAAAAAAAACAAAGAAAGCTAGTCTTGTGCCCCAGGCTTGGAGGAATTGCCAACACATGGATGCAGTCCAGGTCAGACAAGAGGAAGAGTACAAACTGATGTCCTCATCACAATTCTTCTCTTTTTAATTTGCTAGATTGTGTGTGCACTCACCAGAGAGACAGAGAGAGGAGGGAGAGAAAGAAAAGCACCCTCTCCACAAAGGGAGCGGTCACGCTGCAATCTCTCTCCTCCATTTCTCAGCCCTGTCTGGATTTTGGGCACACACACACATGCGCCCGGCATGTTTGCCAAGCCATGAGGGCCCGGACTTGAACAGGGTGGTTGCCCACGTGTGATCCGGCTCCATTAACCATCCCTTGGGGCCAGCCCACCTTTATGATTCTCGAGAAAGGTCTGCAGTATGGCAGGAAGCAAAGGGGAAATGACTGAGTGTCACTCACACCTACTCATTCAGACTGGCCAGGGCTGGGGGCAAGTAATGGGTGACAGTAATGGAGGTCGCTCTCCACATGGAATTATTCCCATGTTAGGGAATGCCAGTTCTCCACCACTGGTGGTGAAAATCCAGGGAGCAAGCAGAGGATGGCAAGCAGCATGCCGTGGGTCTGTCCATACACCGGGAGAGCATGGGCGCACACGCCCAGAAGACAGAACTGGAGGTGAGCTGGTCTTTGGTGTCGTGGCTCCGGGAAGCAAGAAGAAACAGCGAATGAACCCTACATGGCCAGCTACAGGCCAGGTCACACCATGGCCCGCAGGCTAGCGACTGGCCAAATGCTGATACTAACTAGGCGAAAGAAAAGACAGCTTACGAGGGAGGACCAGGAGTCCAGCAGCTCAGGGAGAACTCAGGAAAATCGACTGGGATCGGCCCCAGCTCTGCCCGCAGGGACATTAGAATGACAGTAAGTATGCCCCCACGAGGAAGGCATGATTCTCCCCCCAAATTTTATGTCTCAGGTACTAAAATGGATAAAACACAAACGCTGGAAAATCTCAAGATTAACAGTAGAAAAACTCAGTACACTGCTTCCAGTCTCGGACTGATTAATACACAAAAGCAAGGAGAGACACAGAGCGAAATAATTCATTTAATAGGCTGATTGAAAAAGATGTATTAAACATTATACGCTACCAGCGAGATAAACTCTTTTGCTAAGAAGCCATGGAACATTTTTAAAAGGCCATATTTAAGCCACAAATAAACTGTCAGTAAATGGCAAAAGGCATAAATAATTTAGACCACATTCTTTGACCAGAAAGCAATAAAAGTAGATATTAATAATGAAAGAATAAATATACAAAGTCCCCAGCCACCCAATTCCCAAACACTTGGAAATTTAAGAAAAGGCCTTCTTAAATAATCTCAGGTCAAATGGAATTTAAGGCCGTAATTACACAATATTTAGAAAATAACAAGGAAGACTATATCAAAACAAATGAGATAAGGCCTGATTATACTTGGAGGGAAATCCATAGCCTTTATTATTTCATTACAAAGCCTAAAAACACAAAAATAAATGGACTAAATATTTGATGTGAGATTTTAGGAAAAAAAAAAAAATGACCAGGCCAATAAAAGAAACCAAAGAAAAACAAGATGGAG